TCAAGAGGAGAACAAGAATCAAGTAGACATCAAGCAAGGCGAGCTGCAAGAAGTAGGTGGAGCAATGACCGCTAACACGAAGAATGAAGAGCCCTCTTCTCGCACCACTTCCGAAAACGTTCAAAAGAAAAAGTCGAAACCTCATTGGAAGAAAGTGAATACTTCGAGTAAGAAGTCTAGTTCAAAAAGCAGCACAATTAGCGACGAAGGCAGAGGTGTTGGTGCCGATATTTCCACTGACCAGAACAGTAAAGGCAGCAAAGGCAGCAGCAAAGGAACGAAGACATCTTCAGCCTCTTCTAAAGGAGATGGCGATAATAAGGGTATTTTTTCAGAAGGACACCGAACTTCTGCCGCCGAACTGCTGGATCTGCAATCAGAGTGGCAGTCTAGGATCAACGACTTTTTGAAGCAAGAGAAGAAAACTGCGACAGCAGAAGAGGAGAAAAAGAAAACGGCACCAGTTGTAAAAGAATATAGAATGACAGCAAAAGAATTTCTTGCTACGATGAAGAGCAAAACGCCTGCATCGAGTGATGCTGAAGAAAAGCCTGCATCATTACCAAGCATCCTGTTACCGAGTCCGATGTCACCGCCTACTAATCCGAATACCACAGCAGGGTCGTTGAAGCGTCCGTCAGTCCCACCACCGCCTCCCCCTCAGCGGTCGCCGCCAGGCTTAGGGTCGTCTTCTTCGGGACAATACTATTTTCCTCCGGGATTAGGTTTGGCCGTTCAGCAAGAAGAGGAGAGGAGTACTTCTGTGGAACGGTCAGCGTCTAGTGGATCTTCTTCCTCTGCCACGGATGGAGCACTCTCTTGGCGACGCCAACCTCCAAGGGAGGGAGCCACGTCACGCTATTTCAACAATAACAAGGGCAACATCATCAACAAGGGCAATCACGATCATTATGCAAGTAATGCTGGTGCCAAAATGATGCTACTGAAACAGATGCGCACAGACAGAAGCAAGGAGTATCAGTCCAACGCTGCTGCGACGCAAAATGCAGGAGTGGACGGATATCACACACAACCTATAGCTATACGCAGGGGGCCAAATGATTTGAATTGGCGGGGGTCTTCGTCGGAGCTTTACCGCAAGGACGCCTCGTCTGCCGTAGCACAAGGACCTCCGCATCAAAGCAATGCCTCTACCGACATGTCTTGGCGTCAGAAAGATACTTCTACCCCAAGGCCTTTTCTTAATGCACTTGATGGGAGTAACAAGACATCTACATCTAGTAAAGAAAAAAATGCTCCTGTTGTAGCTGCGCCAAGCTGGTCAGTGATGTCCTCGGCTGTGTCCTCGACTGGAGCAGCTGCAGCGCAAAGTACTACTGAGCAACAGAGTCAACAAGCTCAAGGTCAAGCACAACAAACTCAAGGTCAAGCGTACCAAGAAGGTCAAGGTCAAGCGTACCAAGAAGGTCAAAGCAGTCTTCAATATCGAGGTCAACAAGAACCCAGAGCTACACCACTGATGTCGTCGGATTTCATGAACTTGGCCTTGACTTCAGTTCATATCCGTAGTGCTACTGAGGTTCGCCGCAGCGAGCGCATGAAAAAACCCACTTCTCCGAATGGTAAGGCGAAGCATAATCACACCACGAGCTACGTCAACCCTGAGCTCTTAGCCAGTGTCGTCAGCAGAACCGGCATGCCGGACGACTTGTTGTTGGATTTGGCAGGGCATATAGATAATTATGCCAATTATCATCATCAGACGTCTGACTGCGATACAACTACGAGGAAATACAAGAACCAGGCCTACAAAAATAACTCCTACTACAACAATAGTAGCAACTATGGGGGATATAAAAAATATCAGAATTACGACATGCATAATATGTACATCGACAACGTGAAGCGGCTGCAGGAGTCGGTTGAGGAGATTGATAAAATCAAAGCCGCTGTCCGTCAAAGGAGAGAACTGGCGGCCAAGGAGGAGGAGGAGGAACGACGCTTCCACGGGACTGTTAAGGCAATTCATTTTCTTTGGTTTGTGATATTTCGTTTCTCTGTGGGGAGATCGTTGTCTTTGTCAAGTGCGAAAGCATTCATCTTTCAGCAAAATAAATCTTTAAGTTAGTACCCGATTGGTGCGGATTTTGCTTTTTGTGCTTTGGTTCTTTGTGGGGAGATAGTTGTCCTTGCTCCACCAACATTTTCTTGATATCTTATGTGGAAGACAGATGAAAATAAGTACGAGTGCAGCTCTAAGAAAATAAGTGCTGAGCAGCAAGCAGAGGCCGCCGAGCACTATCAGAATTTTTCGATGACCGATGATATGCAGCAGGGGGGTTACAGATACCTTGAATATCCTGGTTCTGCTCTTGAAGCTTCCGCGTACCAAGAAACAGGACCTTTTTCTCCTGTAGAACAACAACAGATGGCACGTCGATACGCTCTGTATCATCAAGCAGCCGGAGCGGAAGATGGTTATTGAAAGACTCATCTGTGCGTGGAGGAGATGTTGTATTTTCATTTTCATAATAAGACTTGAAGAAAGCATTCTGAGGCTTCAAAGCATTGTGGTCTACCGCAGGAGAGACCTAGTGCAGGGGAGATAACACTCCATGTAACATTCCTAGAAGTTCAAGTCGCCGCTAGGGATCAATTTGCATTTTCAGACTAGTTCCTCTTTTTTTTGAACGAACCGTGTAGTTCAAAAGTAGTTTTGCAAGTAGTTTTTCGAGATATAGCGAATCTATGTCAAAGATGAAAAAAAAAAAACAAAATGAAGACGAATAGGAGCAGAGGAGGAAGCAGGAAACGAAACAAAATCAACGTATTCAATTTTATCAGGAGTCCTACAGGACGAGCCATGTTCTTACTTACTTAGACTAAGGAAGGTTTGTCGATCACTATCTGGTGTGGCCTATGCTTACTGGGTTGCTGCCCTTGGAATTCAAGGGGGAAAAACCTAAGGGGAAGGAAGAAGGCGAGGCAATCCAAAGCAGGGGACACAATGATCGACTATCTACGACTAGAAAAAATCTAATCCTATCTTAAATAAATGTACTTAGCGAAGACATAATCAGAAGAAGTACAACTAACCACTGGAAATCAAAGTGCCTTTACCTACACTATAATACTGAATGGTTTGGATGAGTGCTGTTTACCTCGACTATGGAAGGTCGCTACTCACAATACATCATTGCTGCAATGTAGTATGTGTGTACGACAAATTTGTCTTGTTCGTGTCTTTCTACCTGCCTATTAAAGATGCTGTTTCTTTTAGTAGATTGTTCGAGAAGACGCTTTTCTTCATAGGTGGTGGTTTTTCGAAAACGCAGCTGACAGGAGACAGAGCAGACAGAACGATTGTTGTAGCAGGTTATCTGTAAGACTAGCGCATATTGTTGTCCGCCTGACAGCATATGCATATTTTTTAACGATCGAATTACTGACCATTAGGCAGCGCAGATGCAACTACGAAATAATAATTTATTCCAAAAAAACAATAACTGGTAAGTGAATAGTTACAGATAAGTGAATAGAGAGGGTTTTGCCTCAAAGAAGATGTTGTGCTTCAGAAACAATCATAAACACAAAAAAAACATAAGTAAGAATTTCGATGATTAAGACCATGGAATGACCTTCATTGTATAGAGCGGAGTAGCTGCATTTATTCAGCGAAATGCCTTCAAAAACTTCTAATGCTAACAGCTTACTACATGCATAGGATGATATGGAAATGAACCATTGTGATGATACCCTAGGATGCTGTGACGAGCAGACGTGCGGAGATTTCTCATGCACCGTAGTTTTGAGCGGAACTGAAAGGAATCTGTGGTAGGTAATATCTTCTTCTGTTGTCTGTCGGGGGTATCTTTACCTGTAAAGCAAATCTGGCCTTCTTCTCGCTGAAAACTGTCGTTCAAATGGCTTCGTTTCGAACTCTCGGTCGTGCTCTTGGGACCAAAATGGAAAAACGGGTGANCAACGGATGAACATGTCTTTGATTGATAGAGAATGTTGTTGAGTGTCTATTGTTATATAATTGCAGATGCTACTAGAAGTTTGCAAACCCGGTTATAAACAGCAAATAGAATTTTTGTACACGAGGACCAGGCGATTACCCTTCACTTACCCTATCAAAGTTGCATACCCCTTCCAGTCGTACAAACCTGATTCCTCAACTTTCCTCTTCGTCCCCAAGTCGCCCCCTGCAACTTTCATACCCCTTCCAGTCGTACAAACCTGATTCCTCAACTTTCCTCTTCGTCCCCAAGTCGCAGTGAGCGGCAATTGCGGAAAAGCCTCGAAGATGCGCTCGAAAAACAGCGTCGACGATGTGGGGACGTCTTCGTAGTCGTAGCTGCGATCCTCATCTGTGCAGGCGTCGTTGCAGATTGGTGCTTCGGCATGGGGCTTTGCTTTTATCCCTCAAGCAAGAATCACACAGGAGCCGGAGGGAGACATGGAGGTTATGTTGTTCCCGTTGGTTCACATTTTTGGATAGACAAGAACTGTGGTTCTTGCTACATCAAAATGAAAACATTATAACCGGCGGTAGGACGGCTGCTCTCCAATGGAGGTACTGTCAGACTGGGTGGCCTCACAAGTAGACACTAATAGCTACGCAAGAGGTATCATGACATGACATCGTTTATACGTGTACTGAGATGACGAGGACTTCCGACTTGGAACTAAGTTGTTTTTGTTTTCTTAGAGGGTTGTAGTTAATATTGTCTTCTATGTTCTTAAAAGTAAAGGTGAATTAGGTAAAGGTTGTTATTGCAAATACCTCTTGTTAGGCACATCCATTCATTCATTCATTCACTCAGCGAACTTCAGAATGTTGCTCATCCAACGAAGAACTTCTCTACTTTTTACCTCATCTTCTGAAAAACATCATCCACATCCCATGCATTCTTCCTGTCTCTCTAACCTCCCGCCCGATCTCGCGTACGCGACTACGGTCCATTGAAATCCGGAGGGCGTGAGTGGACTAGAGACGAGTCGACCAGGTCTGGGGAGGCGGACGAAAGAAGAGACAAAGAGACAGGCGCCCATAAGGGGAAGATTCTTTTAAGGTTGAATCCTCTTCACGTTGGTAGATTATTGTATTGTTAGTATTTGTAATTATTATAAGGAAGGTGTGGGGCTCGTTGTGAAGGATCCATAACCTAACCTAACCTTCCATGACGCAGATCAAGATCTTTCAAAGGACCAGCTTTATATTTTCCGTTTATTCATTCAAATTGATCGTCATTGGTAGCAGGAAGTGTTGATCAAAACCCTAAATCCCAAGGAGAACGAAGAACACAGAAGAGATTCTTTCAGGGAAGTCGTAGGTCCAGTCCGAATCGCCTAACACGTACATCATTATCCCAGCAACTACAGTCCCTATAATAATCTGTTGGGAAGAAGTCGACTAACATCATTATCCCAACTAGTTCCTATAATCTCTAGTTGGGATAATGAACTTCTCTAGAAGAACTTCTCTAGAAGAACTTCTCTAACAGATACAGGCAAGGAAGACACTACGCCTCTGCCGCAATTGGATCCACAGAGTAGTAGTATTGCTGCGTTGTTACAAGGAGACCTGGTGACTTCGCAGGTGGAGGACAGAAACGTGGTTCCCCTCACGTGTCCAGCAACGGGACAGTTGCCGTGTCTGTGGGTTTATGCATTTCGACATTTTTGCATTTCTACAGCTAATGCTATAATGCTATAATGCTTGCGACATTGCACAGCTAATGCTATAATGCCATAATTCTGTTAATGTTAATGCTTCTTGTTTCTAAAATGCTATAATGCTTGCTTCATCTTGTTTCTAGTACTGAGTACTACTACTTACTCCTATCAACATCGATGGACTCCGAGCCTCCCATCGTTTTCCAGAAGGAAAAGGGTCAAGGATGTCCTGAAGAACGTAATTCCGTAACCTCTAATGGGTGCAAACTCACGGCTTGCGAGTAAGACCACCATTGGAGAGAGCGGAGAAGGCGAAGTTTTACCCTTTCGAATGGGCCTATCTGAAGGATGAAGGTGGAGGTTAAGAAGACGTGATGGTAGAGGATGTTAGATTTTTGGGGTCATGTCTAGTAGTTTCTGACTTGACAAGTATATTAGGAACGAGTCATGCCCAAAGAACGAGTCATGTCCAAAGAACGAGTCATGTTCATTCATAGTCGAACAAGGACAAGTGAATGAATTTTTGTAACGCGGCTAGGAGTCATGTTCATTCATAGTCGAACAAGGACAAGTGAATGAATCTTTGAGCAAACGCCATTACAAAAGACTATGATGCATAGTCAGTCTTGTTAGAAGGACCACTCTAATAAATCCCAGGAGACGCTCTGATAGAAGCACCCTTTCCGACTGTTAGGGAAGTGGAATCGTTTTATTCGACGCTAGGGCCAACTCCTGCTGCGCTGATAGCAGCGCCAAGTGCGCATGCGAACAATGGTGTAATTCAGAGTTACGAGTGAAAACGATGATTGTGAAGTAGTGTCTCATTTTCGGTTTTGAATTCGCAAACTAATCGTGCATTGCTCTTTGTTGCTAGAAAGGAGAGGAAGATACTAGCTTGTGTAGTATAGTCAGAAGCAACTTCTAAGAAAAAACTTCGCACCAAAAAGCCTCAACGAATCAGCGGGTCTTGCAGGCAGGCACCGAGTCCTTTATTGAATTGGTATAGGAGTTTTTATACAAAAATCCGGACGATTGCAAGAAGAAGTAGTAGTGAAGTAGTCTTCTATACCCCTGGAGTGGGTACATTCATTCACTCATTCACTCACTCATGCTATCGTGATATTATGTCTAGTAACACGACGTAGTTGGTGATTCTACTTCATCGATCGGCTAACTTTCCCCCACCCCCATCAGGACGACACCATGGTCCACGAGTCAACACGTGGTTCGGGTGAATCTGACCCTTCTATTCTGGCCGCGGGATGCATAGGTGAGGTCGATATGTCTCTAGCATGGGATGGTGCCTGCCGGAAAGCCCTCAACCATGAAGACGCCAAGAATGAGATGGATGACAGTCAAATAAAAGACATCTTAGACGAGTTGGCTTTTATTAAGGCTTGAAAGTTGGCCTATCATCTAAATTCTAAGAGCATGCATCTCTATGGTTTCTCCAAGTAGGAAAGCCATAGATATGCGACCTACTAGAGGGGGGCCAACTTTCAACCCCTAATTTTAGAGCAGGGCCGACTGGGATGGTATGAGTGAAGGATGAATTTGGAAGATTGAATTTGGAAGATTGAACTAAGAATTTGGAAGATTGAACTAAGTTCATCATCAAGTGGAATTGTTCAGAACCTCAACTAAGGTTGTGCCTTAGTTGTTGTACAGAGGCTATTGCAATATAGTTCTCTCCGATAGTCGTAGTTTTCGGCCGTTGTGATACGGTTTTCTTGCTCCCCCGGTATGTAAGTTTTTAAATGAGGTTGTTTAGGTAGTTGAATGGGAGGCAGCATGTAGTCCTATGGAAAAAAAAAACTAAGCATTCTGACGTGATCGAGGTCCCTGAACTTGAACCTCAACTAAGACCAGGACTTCTTACAAGTGCTACTCTGGTATACTATAGGTATCCGCCAGCAAATCACGACTATTATTGCAACTCATCTTCCCACATGATTCCTGTTTGACCCTCAAGTTAGGCCTCAAACTCAAAAAATCAAGAAGTAGTTTCCTCTCGCCTCTCTTCATACTCAACCGGTTGCGCGCGGCTTCTGACGGAAAACGAGTTTGAGTGTACAGACGACGTTAAACCCCATCGAGCAAGATCTTACCTAGAAAAATTGATGACTGTGAGCGGCATTTATTTTGCAGCGTTTTCGTTTGGTCGCGAAGACGATGCGGTGAAATCGAGCTTTCTCTATGATCAGTAGATTCCTTTAGAGCCTTAGTAAACTACTTTCTACAACTGCTAGAGTGTACAATTTTGTGGACTCAGTAGATTGGTTTAGAGCCTTCTTAGTAAACTACTTTCTAGTTAGTGGTTCAAGTTGATCTCCTAAGTATGCAAAGAACTAGTGGCTGTTCCTTTCTACTGCTAGAGTGTAAAATTTTGTGGACTACAACTTTTACGTAAAGTGTAGGGGAACAACAAGAAAAGCTAAATTAAATATTCACATAGTGATAAATACTGCATCACCTCTAGTTAGACAAATTCATTCATTAACTTTGGTATTTGAGTATAACTATCTACTTTCATGAAGATGTTATGATCTTTTTCTAATCTCACGAGCACGCACAAGCATTTTCGACCGGAGCCGCTAGTAAATCCAGAAGAAATGCTGGCCAAAAACACCTAGAGGGTGAGAGAATCGAGATGGATATTGATGCTTCTGGTATCGTCAGGGAAGAAGTGGACGGTGCAACTCTGGCACAACTAGAAGCAACTTCCACTTCTGCAACTATGAAGGACACCTCCACTGTTCCACCTGTTGTAGGGCAGAAAGTACCAGCATCTTCATCCCTCCAGAGAACATCCCTCCAGAGAACCTCAAGAAGGCTAGGAAAAGAAGCCCAGAAGCGGGAACTCGATGACGATGTAGCTGACGACGGAAACGATGCCGTCATATTATGACAAGATCTGCTTTGCTATAATATAAAGTTCTCTTAACTCTGTACCTGTAACACTGTAACTCTGTACCTGTAAAAATACTGTACAATAACAACGTATCTGTACTCTGTACCTGTAAAAATATTGTACAATAAAGATAACTACATATCATGATCTGTACTCACATACATTTGCAAAATGGATTTTCAAATCCCTTCTTCCTCTCCAAAGAATGGGAAGCATCATGGTGGAGATTCATCGCTAATGCAGCAAGGGAGCGAAGAGAATCAGGGGGAGGAGGACGATGTGGATGCCATCGTAGGAGGAGAAAAGAAGTCTATACCCGCTAAAGCAGGCAGTGCCGCGTTGCTAATCCTAGATGGCATTCTGGTGGAGGATTCCGATATAGCTATCATAGACGGCTTAGCGAATCCGGGATTTAAATACCAGGTATCAACACTCACATTGTTGAGCGATGTTGTCGCTTCGATAGAGACCTTGTTGTAGAGATTGTTGACACCTCTTGATTTTCTCCGAAGAGATTCTGCTTTGAATACCACGTGCTCTGTTGACACCTTATCTCTTGATTTTCTCCGAAGAGATTCTGCTTTGAAT